AGAGGGGACCGCATGGACGTGGTTGAATTTCGTGCGAGAGTTTAACGAAAAATACCTCCCACCTATAGTCCGGGAGAAAAGAGAGGACGATTTTATTAAGCTCCGGCAGAGAACTTTGAGAATAGCTGAGTATGAAACCCAATTTAGGAAGTTGTCTAAATTTGCTCCTGAGATGATAACTACGGAGCAAAGAAGAGTCCAGAGGTTTGTGCAAGGGCTCAATGTGGAGATACAAGAGGCCTTGGCGGCAGCCCAGATTAATACGTTTACGGAGGTTTTGGAGAAGGCCCAAAGAATAGAAATTTCTAGGGCACAAGTGAGAGCTTTTCATGCAAAAGGAGAGGTGCGCCTGGTGGAAGTCAAAGGCAAAGACAAGATGATTTAGATATGCCACCCTCTAAGATGGGTCGAGGAGATGGTGGTGAGAAAATTTCAGGAACATCTAAGGAAATTACTCCAAGAGGAGCCTCGCGTGGCAGGGAGCAAGCAAGAGGTGCCTCACAAGGAGGTCAAACTCGAGTATCTTGTGGGTACTGTGGGAAGCCAATCATACGGAGAATGATTGTTGGCGAAAAGCAGGAAAATGTTTATGGTGTGGTGGTACCGAGCACCAGCTTGCAACTTGTCCCCGTCGATCACACCTAAACCCTGAACAAACGAATGTAGGAAGGACTAAGCCAAGAGTGCCAGCTAGAGTGTACGCCTTGGACCAACAGGCATTACCTGAACCATCGGAGATAATAGAAGGTACGATTCGTGATTTCTATTATTAAGCTAAATTTTGGCTACAGTGAGACGTGTGAGCTAGAAATGGATATACAAGAAAATACCCTACGTTATTTAGGAGTGCATGGATGAATTTCGAGAACGAAATTCTTTTAAGGGTGAGATAGTGTTAGGACCCGTAAAATTCTTTATAATTTTCTTAAAAATGCCTTTTTATTTGGAAATTATTCATTTATGATGGCCCTACTGCCCAATCATCCCACAATAAGTGTAAATGAATATAGAAGTAAGGGTTTTCGTTGTCCGTTTTCAAGTTAGAGCGAATTAGGATTTTAACGTTTTTTCGTAGTGTGACTATTCGGTACGGAGTGAGGATCAAATTTGGTAGGTAAGAGTGACTTTTGGATGAGGAAATATTATATGATTTGAGGTGATAATAATAAGTTAGTGATTAGAAGGTAAAAACCCTAGTATACGTGAATTACTAAAAAACGGCTCGAACCGACGGGTATCGATCACTACAGGTTGAACCCACCACTTGACCACCACTTCCTTACCACCACCTACCCTTGATATTTTTGCAAAATATCCCCCCCCCATCCTCAGCCATATAACCGAAATATGTGGCCAAAATGCAAGGAAAATAAAGAAAAAAATTAGTTGGTTTTGGTGGTGACAAGTGTCAACCACCTATGGTTCCTTGACCAACCTTTTGTCTTGCCTTCTTATCTCTCATTTCAGCTCATTTCCCTCATATTCTGCTTGTCTTGGCCGTGAGAGAGAGAGAGAGAAAAACAAGGGGGGATAAACTCCATCTCATATAGAGTTTGATTCATTTGAGTGAGAAAACAAGAAATCTAAACCGATTAATCACTAGTTTGGAAGCTTAAGGAACCAAAAATTTTAAGGAGAGGTGGAGGATCATTCTTGCAATCTCTTGTCTTGAGGTATAATGGCTGATCAACCTTTCTTTCTCTATTAATCATGATTAAGTTGGGTATTAATGTTAGTATTGTGCTTGTGATGCTTGTTCCAAGTGATTTTCATGACTAGGTGGATGACTTTTGAGTTAGGATTTCTTGTGGGTTAGGTGTTGTATGATGTATATATGTGGTATATAATCTTGTAAAGGAGATAGTAGTGGTAGTTTCAAGGTAAAAATGAGAAGTATAGCTTGAATATAGCAAAATTCCAGATTTCTGGAAATCTTAGCTTCAGTTCTGTCCGGTTCTATTTCATCATGCTAGAGGCCGAACTAGGCTTAGCACAAAACATGAAAGTTGTAGAGAATGACATTTTATGGTTTCTTAAAAAGTTTCAGCTCAATCAGAGAAATGTAGCCTGTGAAAAGATGAAAATACCCTGACTGCCCTAGGAGAAAAATCAGCGGACAGTTTTGACAGTACAATAAGTTGGTTGCATTTGTTCACCTGGATACGTACTGAACTAGCTTTTAATCAAAACATGAAAGTCTTAGTACTTTGTCTTAGATTTTCAACGCCTCCAAGAACGCCTTAAACGGACTTTGGTAACTTGAGATACGGCCATTTGAAGGTAGTGTGGTTAACTGGTCTATTAGTTGGAATTTGGTTCTGTGAATTGGGAATTTGACTGGGTTACACTGGAATTTGGACTAAGTGATCTTCATGAAAATTGTAGGCCCTTGTCTTAGCTTCGAAACGGTATAAGTTGAACCTCAATCTGATAAGCGTAGCCTCGGTTGTGTCTGTTACGCAAAACCCCATCAAATCTGTCTTTTGTTAAACTTCATTTCCGCACATGTTGTCAACTTGATTTTGTACTCGTATTACCTTGAGCTTATTGAACGACTATTGTGATGAATTTATATTGTGTATGACTTTGGGATTGGCTGAGGAAAATAATGAAGCCTTAAATGGCTGAAAAATTAGGTAAATACAAAGGGCATGCTGCCCAAATTTACGCTCGAGGACTTGAGAAATATACTTGCGACTTGGGTAAAGTTGGTAAATGAATATCACTTGAACTATCTAGGATATTTGCATCTTCTTGTATCGAGGTATATCAGTGAGGATTTGGCCGAACTTGTACCCTTGAGAAATACAATCATGACTACTAGGAATACGTTTTCCTTGTACTTTCGACTCAAATGGCATTTCCAAGTATAAATGTTACAAAGTTATATAGTTTGAAAAGCGAGCGAGTGTTTCACGAATATTCTCCAAACGAATGTCAACTACTTGATTCTTATTGAATGAAAAGTCTAAGTTTCGAACCTTAGTCATTTTTCAAAGTTCTTAAACGAGAGTTTTATCGCAGATTTGGACTCCAAACCCGGAGTACAACCCAGACACGATCACTAGAGGCACTACTTTTGGTGAGTGCTTCCAAATACCTGATTGAACTGGACACTTGTTTCCAATACTTGATCAATATGATTAAATGATATATGATTGGTTTGATCGGGCAAGAGTGTACTTTATCGCACTTGCCCTTATTTGATATACATACTTGTTTATTGTTGAAATTGATTTGAGATACTTGTTTACGATGTGCGCACTTCCTGGAATTCCAGAAATCCTGCGGCAAGTTACTCGAGTCAATCCGGCAAGGGCTTGGTCGATTGGATAACGAACCCTGGGTCTCTTGTTTGTCGAGTGGAGTGATATCTCCTCGACTAATCGGTATACTCGAGTATTACCACCCGTGTTTATTGAGGATTTTGGACCCAGTAGGGGGTTTGAATGGTGGACGGAGAGTAGTGTAAGTGGTGTTCTATTGGATTGGTTACTTACTTGAAAGTTGACGGAGTGTCAACTGTTACGTGATCAAGCTCCTGGTGATGCATTGGGAATTTGGCTCCTGAGAGCCATTCGTATCCTTATACTTTGAGATGATTGTTACTTGTAGTGTTATTGTTTCTTTTAAAACTTTACACTCGCTCATTTTAAGATTGCTACTTGAAGTGTTATTGCTCACAAAATGAGATTGCTGCTTGAAGTGTTATTGCTCACTTTTATGAACTCTTCATGCTCGTTACTTTGCTATATCGAAAACTTGTACTTATAAATAATGGTCAATTTGCTATTTGGAACCTCACTGGGCTTTTAGCTCATTCCACGCCATTTTTTTTCCTTACAGGGGTACGAGCGAGGCGTGAGATGTATAAAGACTAGCGTAGCCTAGTTGGTTTTGACTTTTGACTTGTACTCGCGCTATCACTCGACTAGAATGATTTGTACTTGGATTGTATATACTTTGAACCAGTTTGGGTATATAGAGACTTTGTATTTTGAATGTGCATCGATGTACATTATAAGTTTGAATTGTGATGTTATTTATGATCTATGGATGTATGCACGTGATACAAGTGAGTGAGTCCTGGCGAAAGCTGGGCAGGCGGTCCGCCGAACCCTTTGGTACGCCTTAAGGGGAGGTGGGGTCGTCACATAACATCTATTATTGTACCTGCGGTGGCCAGAAATGGTCTATCAAGTATAATTAGTACATTGACATCCTCCTCCATATCTAAAACAACAAAATCAACAGGAATAATAAATTTTTGCACTTTAATGAGCACATTCTCCAATATGCCCATTGGATGTCTAATAGACCTGTCAGCCAATTGTAAGTCAATGTTAGTACGCTTTAACTCTTTCAACCCCAATTGCCTAGTCACAGTTAATAGGATCAATGAAACACTCGCACCAAGGTCACATTGTGCTTTAGAGAATTCTACATTACTAATAGTGCATGGAACTGTGAAACTCCCTGGATCTTTCAACTTTGGTGGCAATTTGTTTTGTATAATGGCACTACATTCTTCCGTTAATGCAATTGTCTCACTATCTACTAACTTCCTTTTCTTAGTCATTATCTCCTTGAGAAACTTTGTGTATGAAAGAATCTGCAAAATAGCATCAACAAAAGGAATGTTAATATGTAATTGTTTGAAAATGTTGACAAACTTCTCAAATTCTTTGTCATTTCTCGAAGGTTTCAATCTTTGTGGAAATGGCACCGGTGGAGGAATTGGTATTGTATCTCCAATTTGTGGTTCATTTTCTTCCATCTTTTCTTTCCCTTTGATTTTCTTGCCATTTTCTCCTAATTCACTCAACTGCTTATTTTCTCTTCTTTCAAATTCTCTTTCACTTTCAATTACAAGTTTCTCCGCCACTTCCTTACCTTTACGGAGGGTTATGGCCTTCACTTGTTCCCTTGGATTCACCTCAATCTTGATAGGTAAGTCCCCTTGGTTGCGATTGTTGACCGCATTAGCTATTTGCCCCAATTGGACTTCAACATTTCGATACATATTGGTGAGTTGATCCATCCTTCCTTCAATTCTTTCAAACCGTTGAGTAGTGGCACTGGCTAACTTTTCAATTTTATCATTTGATACATCTGCCAGCTTTTCAATTGCCAATTCCCAAGCTGGTTTGGACTCCGGAAGTGGTTGCTTCGGTTGAAAATCCGGTGGATTAACTGGTCTTTGTTGGTTCCCTTGATCCTTCCATCCAAAATTCGAGTGATTACGCCATCTTGGATTGTAGGTATTAGAGTATGGATTGTTTTGGGGTAGACGGTTGTAACTGTTGAGATATTGAACTTGTTCGCTGCTAGAACACATAGAATTATCATGATCTCCACCCCAAGTAGTACAACATGCAATAACTACTCCTTGATTAGAGATAGAACCAACATGCCTATTAATCATCTTAACCACATTATTCATTTTTGCACTTAACATATTCAAGGTATCTACTTCAAGCATACCTGCGGTTCTTCTCGTATTACCTCGTTCGTTGGCCCATTGGTAATTGTTAGCAGCCATTTCTTCAATTAATTGTTGAGCTTCCTCGGCTGTCTTTCCCATCAATGCTCCTCCCGCTGCCGCATCTACATGCGTCTTTGTTGGATAGGTGAGACCATTGTAAAATGTTCAGACCACTAGCCAATCTAGTAAATCATGATGAGGACATCTTCGTTCTAATTCCCGATAATGCTCCCAAGCTTCGTACAATGTCTCTCCTTCCTGTTGAGAGAAACTAGTTATATCCATTCTTAGTCTAGCAGTTTTTTCAGGTGGAAAGAATTTATTGAGAAAAGCCTTAGCTAATTCAGCCCAAGTAGTAAAAGTGTTCGGAGGATGAGATTGTAGCCAAATCTTGGCCTTGTCCTTTAGTGAAAATGGAAACAATCGAAGTTTAATTGCATCATCACTAACACCATTAAACTTAATTGTATCACAGATTTCAAGAAATGTTGACAAGTGAGAATTTGGATCTTCGGTAGCATTACCTCCATACTGAGATTGTTGTACCATTTGAATCAGTGATGGTTTAATCTCAAAATTATTAGCATTTACCATTGGCCTTGCGATGCTAGTTTGAGAACCTTGTGTTTCCGGTAAAGCAAAATCTCGTAGAATTCGCCTATTTGGTTCATTTTCCGCTATTTCTTCCTCAAATGGTAATTCTATCAAGATTTCTTCTATCGGCTGCCAAATCTCTTGTTCCTCTTGATGCGGTGTATTCCTCCTTTGTCTCCGAAGTGCCCTCTCAATTTCTGGATCGAAAGGTGCAACTTCTCGATGTGTTCGGTGCATACACTACAAATAGAAATAAGAGAAATTATGCAGTTTTAATTGTCAAAAACTATATTAATGCAAAAATCAATTAATCGCAAGTATACGAATCGTGAGCGAGTATAGGATATTAAGGGTCGATCCCACAAGGAAGATTGCAATTACCGGCACTACTAAAGCTTCTTTATTATTTAGACTATCAATGTATTATAAGAAATGAAACCTACTGAACTTATGCAAAATAACAAATGAAAACTCCTTAGGTTATGGTATCCCTAACTACTCATGCAATTGCCATTTTTGGATCATTGAGTACTACTATCTAGGCTAGTTATGGTGTAATTTCCTTAAACATGTGAAACCTACTTTCGTAGTGAATCAACTATACTCATAACTAATCCATACCTATTCTCATGGTTATGAAATTAGCTACAAGTTCATTTCTTCAATGAAATTACATGAAATTAATCACTAAAACCACATAGGTGCACCTCTACTCTCGTGAGTGTACTCCCTATGTTTAGCACTTTTTGAACTAGTGTTAAATCTCAATTTTCATTGTAGAAACAACACCTTAGATAATCACAATTAATGGTACCAGATTAATCATGATTTAAAGGGCCAAAGTGTTAAATAACTTGCTCAAATAATAGCAATCAAATAACCAAATAATAAACACTAACAATTATAGAAAGTTCAACCAAACCCAAGGCATAAACTTTAAAGACACATATTGAACACAAAATCCAGAACTTGCATATTAACTATACTTAAGAATCTGATACAAAAGATAAAGAGTTGGAGAAGAGATAACCCATGTCACTTGAGCTTCAACTCCTCCCTTCATCTATATCTTCATCCTAATCTATCCAATATACAAGAATGGATGAACTACACTTACTCTATACTAAACTAACCTAACACTCAGAAAATGTAAGAGCTACATTTCTGCACTTCAAGCTTTCTCCCGTATCTCTCTCTATTCTCTTCAATCTTGCAAGTTTTGGCTATATAAAGATGAAAGAAGTCAAGAAAATGAGGCCTACACCACCCTTTTACAGCTGTAAAGTAGTTCTCACATATCTGGCATTGCATGTGATTTGTTGGAGGTGAAAATAAGTTTTCCGCGTAAAGGGCAGCCTTCTCTGACCACAATCCGGCCATAAATCGGCCACAAATCCGGCCAGATTGCTACAGTGACATTTTGGTGCACTTTTGTTCAATTTCCATCTCTGCTCCGATTTTGCATCAATTTCAACTAAACTTTTCTTGATGATAAAAGATGATTTAGCTCTTGATCAAAACATAAAACTTGTAGCCCTTTGCGTTAGCTTTCCAATGCATCAAGAATCACCTCATTTGGATCTGTGTAGGCTGAGAAATGACCTAAATACCCTTGACTGCTCACTGCCCTGTTTCAGCTTCGACCAATAGAAATTAGCTACTGTAATTCGGCTGTTTGACCTGGAAAACCTTCAAACTGAATTCAGATGTCTTCACCAAAGTTGTATATCTATCTCTTACCTTCAAATTGGTTTAAAAATCATCTCAATACGATCATTGTAGCTCAAGTTATAGACAAAATACGAAAATGTGTCAAAACTGTCAAATGCACAAAATCCAAGTAAAAAGTGATAAAAACGTCATTTAATTACTTAAAAGCATTTTTCACCAATTATAGTCAAAATGATTCATTTTCTTCTAGTAATATAACCAAAGTGATTAAAAATAATATAAAATGTCATACAATTAAAACGTAAATTAGTCACTTATATCAATAGTTTTTAACATATGTGTAAAGACAATATTAAGTGATTAGAAGCCAATTTAGGTATATAACTATCATGAGTTTTCCTCTCATTTGCTTTAATTTAACTCTACTCGTGGAACTAGATATAGTCGTTAAATCTCAGACCAACCGTAGCTACCATTTATGAAAGCTTACAAGGTTCGAAATTAGAAGAAATGCTGGTTAAAAGTTGGTTTCTCACGGCTAGCATCTTAGCAAAGTACATTCGGGAGCAAAAGGAAAGGCAACGAGAAAGGCAGCTTTGCCATCTTCTGGTATTTTGATCATAACTGGAGCTACGATTATCGGATTGAGGCAAATTTTATAGCATTTCGAAGCTAAGACATAGACCTACATTTCTTATGAAGACATCGACACTCAGTTCTCGCCTTTTCAAGGTAAAAAATGTACGGTCAGAAGCATCTTCTGTTTCACTCTCTCGGCTGAAGCTAAAAGAATTTCAGCATGGCTTAGCAGCTGCATTTTTCCCTTTTCATTCCTCCTCAGTTTTCTGTTCTAGATTATGTACAAAGCATATCGATTCATCTTCAAGTTAACTTAAGCAAAACGGGGCAGATTATGCTCAAAACTCAAAAGGAAAGCTGACTAAAATTCAGCTCTGCGCAAGGCTGCAAAACTGAAGTACCGCAGCTTGCCTCAGAGTTCTTTCACGTATGGCTCTCTCCATTTCACACTCATTAACCTACGACTGACCCCTTAAACTGAATAAGGAAACAAATAATCTGTTGCATGCATCCCATAACGTTATTAACCCAAGAAATTTTGACATCAGTTGCAAGTTCCAGCTCAACACTCAGTTTCTGCAATTTTTCTGAGATTTCACAGTTATTGCCCGGCATTTACTTCAGCTACAAGCTCTTCTCACTCTAGTTATCAACCCTGCTCTAAGTTCTCAGGTAAGACAAGAAAATAGCATATAGTTTGAGCTTCTAGCAGAAGATTTCTCCCTACTTTCGGTTAACAAGCTGCATGATCAGTTTTTTTTCCTCGGATGGAGCTGAAAGGTAACCACTCCCTAAACAAGTTTTCCCTTCAATCAAACTGAATTTTTCTTAGCTACATTCCAGCATTCCACAGTAATATCCAAGTGTACTAGTTGTTTAGAAGGTTATTGCAGTCACGTACCTCGTTCCTTCCTCCTAACGTTTGAAAACAAATGCAGATCGCACGTTTGGTTTCCTGCTCCTAGCTTCGTCCCTCTAACTCTTGCACCAGCTCTCCCTTTTTTTCTCACGTTTGGCTCGCGGTGTTGAGGCTACCAGCTGAAGAAATGAAGCGAGCCAGTGCCTCTCTCTCACTCTCACTCTCTCGGTTGCAGACTGGAGGCAAAGAGAAACCAGAAATGTTTTCTTTTCCTCTCACTCGATTATGTTTGAGCTGAATGGGTGTCCAAATCACTCTCTCAGCTTTGCTCCTAGTGCGTGGTTGGTAAGAAAAGAAAAGAAATGTTTTTTCTTCACTCGGCCACCGCCCAAACAATGTCACCGCTGTCTCTTTTCTTCCCTGATCATCACTTCACTTAGCAACTAAATGGGCAGCTGTCATCCCAGGTGTTATTCACCGCCCCAGCACACAGCCAACCTACTTGTTTTTGTTTTCCTTCCACCGCTTATATAGCTTCCATTCGGTTCCAATTCAGTCAAGTATTATGCCTCTTTCTGTTTCATTTTATGTAGTACGTTAGTTGGTTTCTTGGCTGCATGGAAGATTAAACAAAGGTCTAAGGTTGGTTTGGTCTTTTAAATTTTTGTTCATTTGTTTGCCAAGAGTCCGTAATTTTATTGTCTCACACATTGATTCAAAATTTCGTTTATTCTAATTTGCATTTACCCTAAAAATTTCTTACATTGATTTTGACACGTTTAGCTTTAAGAAAAACTTATTAGACATGTACTTGTTAAACTTCTAGTGTATGTTACGTGTCTAGTAATATTCGCAATTAACACAATTTACGATATGCACGTCATATATTTATTTAATTCGTAAAATTTTTCTACACTTCTAGACATGTACTTATTGAATTTATTTTTTAAATTCTCAATTTATAGGGATTCAATTAGGCATTTAAGGTAACCATTTATTCGTTATATATAATTTTTCTAATATCAAAGTAAATAAAATAAAATAATTTTAGGATATACATATAATTTTCTCGGGTTCTCACAGTCCATAAATTTAGAATATTAATAATTAGAGGAAAAAACTCCTTTTTTCTTTAGAAAATACCACCTTCAAAATAATAGAAATGAGGGTTGAAAATGAGTTTGAAATTTTATGCATGTTCAATAATTTTTGAATAATTTTATAAGAAGGTGAAATGAACTTTATAATATCATGAGAGCATTTTGGATTATTCATTCAAAATTTTAACCATTAAATAGTTTTAGTTACCAAAACGGTAAACTCGAGGGAGGTATATGTAATTTTTTAAATCTCAAGAAAATTAGGTGAAATTGTTAAAAACCTCAAGGGAGGTTTCTGAAATTATCCCTTTTTGTCCCTTCCCACTCTCCTATTCCCTCCTTAACCCCCTACCCCAACCTTGCATGCCATGAGGCGAACTCCTGACTTGATAAGCACGAGCGTAGGTCCCTCGCCAATAGTCCAAAGAGGAAAATATGACACATAAAAAATAGAGATACAAAAATGTAGTAAACCATGTAGTCATTGTAATTACGTGCTTACTTTGTGATTAAGCCCTTAATGACTAAGAAATAGGGGATCATGTGTTGAGTTTGTGAAGTGATCAACTAACCTGTTATTCTTATTAACATCTTGCTGACAAGATTGGAGATTATCTTATAAGTAATCGTGAGAACCAGCTTGTCAATACCAACTAAAGAGGAAAACATGAGAGGCAAGTTTCTTGTTGGGGGAGAGGCAAAGTGAGTCACAAGGAGACAAAATGGGTTTTTAAAATAAAAAGGCATTTAATGAAAAAATGGATTTTTGAATATTGAAAATATGTGAAAAAGGGCCAAAATGGGACTTTTATAAATGCGACAATGTGGGCCTAATAAAATAGTCTAAAAAAGGATTTTTGAGAAAAAGGGAGTTGATACTTGGTATTAAGTTTAAGTGTACCAAATCAACGATAAAAAGTTTTTCATAGAAAAAATGAGAAACCCCTTATTCAGATAACTTTAAATCTTTGAAATTGAGAGAAAAAGGTTTGAAAGTCATGGTTAAAGAAAGAAAAGGCAAAAGATAGATTGATTCAAACCTAAGACATCTTTTCAACCTAATCTAAGCTAATTGTGAGATTTATCAAATTTTTCCTAATCTAACCCTTAAACTAATAATATTTGGATGTTTTTTACATGAATGCAAATCTAAACCTAAAGGAGACATCAGAAGAAACAAAATGTCCCTATAAGATCTAATTAGTCCCAATCATATTAATTGTGAATCCCAATAATAATCCCTTGAAGGGGTCGCAAGCATGTAAAGATGAGACTTGAAGAAAAGACAATTAAAACTTATATATATAGGTATAAATGACCCTAGAAAAAGGGACATGACATAATGGGTATGGAGAACTAAAACTTGTCACACAGTTTTCTTTCTTATAGAGGGGTAATACTAAAACTAGTCGCTTTTTTTTCCATATTCGAATGGTGACTCTTTTATCTAAATAACCAATTGAACTATCTAATTTACTAATTGATAAATGAGATGCAATTCTAAATGAAACAATTAGGACACACACAGGATAAGGGTATAAAATAGGAGAAAACAATATGCAAATTAGAAAATATCTTAAAAATAGAACAATATGCATGAAATGAAATGACAAACAATTCATGAATCTAGTGTGCGAAGAGGGTCAAGGGTCTAGCATTAGACTAATTCACTTCTACATATCCTCACTAGTGTTAGACTAGTAAGGAAATGAGCTAGAAAGGCCAAAACTCGCGTTGGGCTAGTGTGGTGACGTCGTGTATTCGTCATTTATAATAAAATATATAAAATATAAATTAAAGTAAGTAAATACATAAATGCACATAGAGCACATAGCATATAAGAATAATATCTAGATGTAAAATTCTAAGAAAAGTAAATAAAACACATGAAAACATAAGCACAGACTTAACTATTACATTAGGGAACTTAACTACAATCTAATAGGAGAATATAAGAAAATAAACTTATCTAACCTGTATATTACATTTGCCTATCTAATTACAACCTTTGCAAAATATAACCTTTATTTATTACATTTACCTATCTAATTACAAATTTTGCAAAAAAAAAAAACCTATCTATTACATCTTGAGTATTCGGGTACCCTCCAAGTTATTACAGAACTTGAATTGAATAAATAAATACGACAATGAATAAAAGTCCAAAATAAATAAAATAAAAATAATAGTAAAAGAAAAACATAGGAGTATAGAAGAGCACGTAAGAGCATATAATTGAAATTAAAGGATAATAAGGGTACCTCCTTTTTGAACTAGTAACCAAATGAGGGAATGGGGGATTATCTATTATTCAAAATCAATAAAAAGATCAATGCACCAATTTAATTAGAAATACTTTAAAAGAGAGCATTAAAATATACTAAATTTACATTATCAGGCCAAACACAAAAAGAAAATTAAAATGTCCCAAAATTACAAGTTAAATGCATTTAAGAGAGCATCATTAACAATTAAAGAAAGGAAATTACTAGAATTGAGAAATCACGAAGTTGTTAGGAACTAAATTACAAAAAGTTAAAATTTTTTGGGTTAAAACAGTTTTTCAAAAAATAAGAGGCAAAAATTAAAGAAATAGAAAGTCTAGGGTCCAAATTATAATTAAAATAAGGACTTAAATGCAAGAAATCTAAAGTTTTGGGGCCACAATAAAATTATTTAAAAAACTTAGGGTCAATTTTCAAATTTCCTAAGAAAAGCAAAAAAATGGGTCTGCGTCCTTTATAGTGTTTTAGGCCACACCATTTTAATCCAAAAGAAAAAATGCAGCCCACATCATGTAAACAAACAAGTCCAACTAACTAAAATAAAAACAAGTCCATCCTTTATTTTCTTTCTTTTCCTTTTTCTCTTTTGTTCTTTTCTATTTTTCTTTCTTTCTTCTTCCTCTCATTCTTTCTTCTTTCTTTCTGGTAGACTTAAGCTTTATCGCTGATGGCCATGGCTGCTCTGGTGCCATCGCTACCAGCTGACAACCTCATCAGTCGCTAAAATTTGCCAAAATAACATCACAGTCTCAATTCTTTGCATAGATTGCGTTTGAGGGATTAGTTTTCGCAAAAAAGAACAAAAAGTGATAAAATTGCAAATTTACAGCCAGGTCACTCTTTTTGAAACTTATTTAAATCTTCACCAAAACTCACAAAACTTACACCAACATGACCCTTATCGATTCTATAATGCCACTATGGTGTTAGTTTGACAAGAAACAGCAAAAAAATGGCAAATTAGACAAAAAATAGATCCAATTTAAGAAATCGATTTCCCAGCTTTTCATGTACAAACTTGCAAATTTCCACTTTTAAGTATTCTCATAAAGCTAATAATCATCAGAAAGAACCAATAAGTAATTGATTTTCCTTTTCAAAACCAGAAAACAAATTTCGGTCCTCCAAAACCCTGTTCATCTTGAAAACAGAGAACTAGAAAAAACTTCAAGGCAACAGACAAGTAAATCAACGAAGCCACTTTAACACCAATAAGAAAATGGAGGAAAAGAAATAATGTCAATGTTAATTGTAGCCTTCCAGCTTAAAGATTTTGATGAAAAAGCTCCCAAGCCCAACTCATTCCCTCGCTTCCTTTCCCTTGCAACTAGTATTCTTTCAATTTTCTCAGATGTTGTGCTAATTGATAGGGAGATCCAAGAAGCAGGAGTGGTGGTATGTGTGATGTGTGCGCTTGTGTGTGAGGACCCGATGTTATTTTTATATTTTATCTTTTAACTACTTGCCTTGAATTCTTGATTGCTTTAATGGTTGAGTCATGTTTTTATCCTTTTTTCTTATTTAACTTGGTGTATGTTGAGTTCCGTAGTGCATTATGCTAGCGTGACCAACTAGTGAGATGTGTGCAATAAATTTGGTGAATTAGAGGGAGTTTTGTTGAAAAAGGGATTGTTGGAAAGAGGTGTTAATAGATCATTAGGAGAAAGAGAGATATTTGGGTTATTAGATAGACATTAGTTCTAATTTTGCTACTTATCAAGCATCCAAAGCCTCCTGACCAAGACTAGCTTTAAACTTATCCAACTTAAGCTTTATTTCATCACTATTTCTTCATGTTTATTTTCCTTGTGGTGGCCGAACTTAGAGAGGTGAAAAGGGAGAGAAAAAACTCAATTTCAAGCCTTGATTTCTTGTCTACTTGGTGAGAAAACAAGAGAGAAACCCTAATCTACTCCATCAAACCTTGAATTAAGCTTGGAAGGAA